CCCTCGCAGTTGCAGTCCCAGTCGCAATCCCAGTCGCAGTCGCAGTCCCAGTCGCAATCCCAGTCGCAGTCGCAGTCCCAGATCCTCCTGCAGCTGCAGCACCAGGCCGTGCAGCAGCTCCCGCCCCACCAGCGCTCCTTTCTCTCGCTGCAGGACCCCGGATCGATCTCCAGCGGGGGGACCGAATCGCCCTACGTCTCGGCCGAGTTCACCCTGGCCAGCGGGAGCGCGGGCAACGGAATCGCACACGGAATCGGAACGAGCAGGCCCAGGGCGGCGAGGCGGACGAGCTTTCGGAGCACCGGGAGCTCCCGGGCCACCGGGGACCACTCCGGCGATCTCGAGGGCAGAAGCAAGAACCGGACCCGGGCGTCCAACGACGACGACGACGAGGAGGAGGAGGAGGAGGAGGAGGCGTCCTCCTTCACGGGGACCACCCCCTCGGTCATGATGGACAAGCAGCGGGCCGTCAACGTGGGAAGGTCCGGAACCAAGTTCGTCTACGCCGTCCTCTTCTGCACCGGCCTGTTGCTCTCGGTGGCCACCTTTCTCTTTGTCCGCCACTCGGAACACCAGGAGTTCGAGTCCGAGTTCCACAGCTACGCCAGGGAGACCGCCGCCCTGGCCGAAACCAACGCCGCCCACACCTTCTCCCAGTTCCAGACGCTGGCCACCACCCTCACCTCGGCGGGGCTCTTCGAGCGGGACTACTCCCACCGGTTGGACTACACCGACGCCAGCGACAGCCATAGCAACAGCAGCAGCARCARCAGCARCARMMRCRAACGCGAAMKCGAAAKCRRRMGYCGGMGWMSGASMASSAMCMRCRAMMACSAAWACGAAAACGACGACGATGCCATCTACCGAACGGGGGCCTGGCCGAACGTTACCATCCCGCACTTCGACCAGCGCATCGAGGTCATGAGCCAGCGGGCCGGCGCCACCATGATCATGTACGTGCCCCTGGTGGAGGACACCGACAAGGACGGCTTCGAGGCCTACGCAAACGCCCGGGCCCCGTGGAGAACCCGGGAAAGGTCCGATGCCACGAACCAACACCAGGGAACCGGAACCGGAACGGGCTACGTCGAGATCTTTCCCTGCCCCCACGGGCACTCGGAAGAAGACCGCGACGGCTTTGTCGACGTCGATTCCTTCATGGAGGAAATCCTCTCCGAAACGGGCGGCTTTGCCAACCCCGATGGCCTGGTAGCCCCCATCTACCAGTACGGGGGGCCGAACCCCAAGGGGGGCCTCGGGAGCACCATCGATCCCAAGAGCGAATCGATCGCCCTCATGGACCTCTGGCACCACCCGATCTTCAAGAAGGAGGTCGTGGCCTCGATCGAATACGGCGTCCCGGTCATCTCCGAATACCTGGACGTTGGCTTTCTGCTGGAATCTCTCTCGCCACCGGAACCGACCGCGGCGGTGGGAGACCCGCTGAAGCACGCGACGACCCTCCGGGCTCCCCACGACCCGAGCGCAAAAAGCGGCGCCACCGGGGAAACGACCCTGTCGAGCGTGATGAGCATCACGCTGGATCCGGTCAAGGAATCCTTCGAGCAAGGTGCCAGAACGATCGGCTTTGTGGTGGGAATCGTCCCCTGGTCCACCTTTTTCCGGAACGTCCTCGAGGTCGACACGGAAGAAAGCGGCATCGGCAGCGGCAACACCACCGCCGCCGCCGTAGACGACGATCCCTATACCTCGCAACAAAAACAAAACAAGGCGGTCCGCGGAATCGTCGTCAAGGTCGTCTCGGACTGCGGATCGGTGTTCACCCTCGTCCTCAGCTCCGAAAACCACGTGGAGGAAAACCCGGTCCGCTTCGGCGACTGGAAGGAACGCTACGGGGAGTACGAGGACCTCAACCACACCTCCCGGTTTTTCTGGAAGGAGCACCCCAAGGGAAAGTCCCGGCACTGCCACTTCGACCTGCAGATCTATCCCAGCGAGGAGTTCCGGAACTCCTACCGGACCAAGCAGCCCTGGCTCTACGCCCTGGCGGTGGTGGCCATCTTTGTCTTCACGGCCGGCATCTTTGCGGGCTACGACGCCTTTGTCTTCCAGGGACAGCGGCACATCGTCACGGAGGCCACGGGCATGATCGTGGAGAACGCGAGGCGGGCCGCCCGGAACGAGCGAGGTGCGTGTCTTCGTTGTGTTGTGTCGTGTTGTGTCGTGTCGTGTTGTGTTGTGTCGTGCAGTGTAGTTTGGGAAAGCGAGGAATAGGAAACAAAAAGGGAACTCGCATCGCACCGGTTGTTCTGTCGTGGTCCTAACCCTTTTTCGTCGCCGTCGTCTGTCCTCTTTTTTTTTGTTTTGACCCTGCCCGACACGCACGGCAGACCTCAACGATTTCATCGCCCACGAGGTTCGAAACCCCCTCGCGGCCGCGCTGTCCGCGTGTGCCTTTGTCATGAGCGCCCTCACGGAAGACCAGATGCTGCACGGAGGGGAATCCGGCAAGAATCGAGACGGCGACAGCGAGGGCGAAACCGAGGCCTCCGACATCGAGAACCAGGCGCTGATTCCAGCGGACGAACGACGCGGCGAGTCCCGCGACACCAACGACGCCGGTGCCTGTGCCACCGACGAATCGATCGGCAAGAACCGGGCCGGAGGAGACCTCGAAACGGCCCACCAGGCGCTGATTTCCTCGGACGAAAAACGGGACGAGGTCATCGACGACGTCAAGATCATCAACGAATCCCTGCACTTTATCAACGATCTGCTGCGAAACATGCTGGACATGCAGCGGGCGGGGTCCAACCAGATCCCCATCGAGATCAAGCCGACCGACATCATGAACGACATTTTCAAACCCGTCGAAGCGATGATGCACCTGCGAGAGGTCCCCTTCGAGGTCGTTCTGGAATGCGGGAGCGGAAACTCCGAGAACAAGATCGACGAGGACGACCAGCTGGTCATCATGACCGATCCCCTCCGCCTGAAACAGGTCGTTGTGAACCTCACCAGCAACGCCAGCCGATTCGTCGAAAAGGGTTTCATCCGCTGCAGTGCCAAGGTCAACGCCACGACCGGTTTCGTTGAATTGTACGTGGACGATTCCGGCCCGGGCATTCCGGAAGAAAAGCGGAAGCGCGTCTTTGGAAAGTTCCAGCAGAGCCTCGACTCGCTCCAGCAGGGGACGGGGATCGGTCTGAGCCTCTGCAAGAAGCTGATCGATCTGATGGGCGGAAACCTTTACATCGACGACGACTACCACAGCGGAATCGAAGGGTGCCCGGGCACCCGCTTCGTGATACAGCTCGGGAAACCGCCCCTCCAGCTGGAAAACGCGATCCTGGACGAGCAGCTGCCCCCCCGCGACAGGGCCAAGCTGCGCCGCCGGCTCCTGAACTGCGATCGACCGTCCGCAGAAGACGGAGTCGGTCCGCAACCGCAGGCCCCGCCACACTCGGTCGACTTTGCCGCGGAACAGCCCAAAGCCAAGACGTCCGTTTCGTCGCACTCGACGGTGTCCACGCTCGCCACCAGCGAAAACACCGGGAACGAATCGGCCCCCCGTCCCTCCGCGGGAGCCATCGGAGCGAGAAAAGAGCCCGCCACGCCGCCACCGGTGCCCTCCTCGTCTCCGGTGGCGGTGTCCCCGGATCCCGGGGRAGCCCCCGCCGAAAAAGCGGGGGTGCCGGCCAGCRAAAGACGAGACGGGCAGGGCCTTCTCACCGAGCTGCCGCTGAATCTCTCCGTCTTGTTTGTGGACGACGATACGATACTCCGCAAGCTTTTCTCCCGGACACTAAAGAAGATCAACCCCACCTGGTCCCTCCGGGAAGCCTCCAGCGGGGAGATCGCCATCGAACTCATCACGTCGCAAGAAGCCGGGAGCGGAGAAACCCAGACGCCGAGCGGCTTTGACCTTATCTTTATGGACCAGTACATGGCAAGCACGCAGAAGCAGCTGCTGGGGACCGAAACCGTCCGAGCCATACGGGCAAGGGGATTCCACGAGCCGATCATATGCGGGTTGTCGGCCAACGACGTCGAAGACGCCTTTTTCAACGCCGGCTGCGACGCCTTTATGTTCAAGCCGTTTCCCTGCAAAAAAGAGGAACTCACGAAAGAATTGCTCAGGATCATCAACACCCGCCGCAGTTAAAGGGCGGGGTTGCGGTGGCATTGCACGGCACGGCACGTGTCCGATCAAACACAGCAGCAAGCACGCGGGCCGAGAGTCTTTTGCAATTTTCCGGCAGTTCGGTCGCGATTCGCGGCGATGCCATCGGAGCGGGTGTCCGCGTGTTTTCTGGCCCGATCCAAACGAGTGCACCGGAGGGGGCGGAACAAAGGAACAAACCAACCGCAAGGCTTCGTTGCGCGTTTCCTCGGGAGTTTTCCCCCGGCTTGCCGAAATGATACCACCAGATCCAAATCATTTTACCGGTGCCGCCGGGTCTTTTTTTGGCTGCCCAGAGGCAGCAACACGATGCCGCATCGTCCAATATTTCATTGCACGTTCACACGGCGGTTTTCTTGGTCGGCTGACAGGATTTTGAAACTCGATCCCAATCGTTTTGACCGGTCTCGGATKKTCTGTTTTCGGCTCCTCGAAGCCGACCACACAAGACCGTGCAATGCCTTGCCATGGCGGSTTTCCYCCAAGCTCTGCCCCCGATGCAAAGCCATCGGYGCGAGGGCAAATTGATACACMATTGCACGAAACTCCATGGGGTGGCTCCAACAACAGCCACAAAAAAGATGCCGCRTTGTGCGTGTTTGTTCCAGCGTTTTCCTCGATTGAAAACAGAGGAAATAATTTTTACAACTAAAATCCGAAACAATACTCTGGTAGATCTACTTTTCTGGAAATTACCGCTTCAATGTGGAAGGCATTTCGCAGAAGTAAAAAAAAATATACAGGTAATTTCAAGGTACATGCAATAAAATCCGAAACAATACACTGGTAGATCTACTTTTCYAGAAAKTATCGCTTYAATGTGGAAGGCATTTCGCAGAAGTTTTAAAAAAATATACAGGTAATTAAAAGGTACATGCAATGCATAAAAAATATGGAAACGAATTGAAACAGAAATTCCGACGCATCAACGACGTCCTCCTTCCTGTTGCTCAGGGTTTGCCCGGGGGAGGGACTTCGATCGCTATGGTCGCGTTGCCTGTTTTGGGACGGGGCCGAAACATGGATCCGGTTTCTCCTCCGGACTCGTGCATCGGAAGAATGACCGGTTGCTTCTTCCCACGCACATCGCGGGWCACCGTGTGATAAATCGGAGCGGTTGGGCGTACCCTGACGTAGGGGCTTTGCTTCTTCTTGGTTTGCTCCTCGAATCGTGGCCGGTTGCGTTTCGTTTCGTCGTTATGGATTGGGGATTTTCTGCTCCCATTGTTGCTTTGTTTGGTACGGATCTCGTCCTCCTTTTCGTTGTCGATCTTCCTTGTTCCTTCCCGACGAATATCGCGGGTCACCGAGTGATAAATTGGAGTTGTCTTGCGTGCTTCTTGGTATGGRCTGCKTTCCGTTTGTTGATTCTCGACGGGGGACCGATTCCCMTTKYGGCTTKTCCTCCTGTGATTCTCRATGTCGATCTCGCCCTTGTTTGAGACGCTGCGGGTCACRTCGTGAAAGAGTGAAGGAGGTGCATCCGCTCGAAAYCGTGGTTCCKGCTCGCTCCSATCTTCCGCTGCAGGCCGAACGTKCGTTTCCTGGTAATTTTCGCRGTCGTTGCCATGGCGTTTGGAGTTWGACGCTTGTGTCTGCACCTCTGGYGCTTGCACCGGCGGGGTTCCGTCGCGAAAGAAAGGGGGAGGAGTGGTTTCTCCGGGAGTGATGCCGTCCTCATCACCCTGCTGCAGCCGTGTCGCTTCCAAGTCCTTCGCCGTCGGGATTCCGTCTCGACGGGAAGGTTGCTCTAGCGGTGTTTTTCCCGTATCTTTGACCGGCGGGACTCCGTCGCGGCACAAAGGGGGAGCTGTGGTCCTCTCGGAAGAAGTGGCATTGCCATTGCCTCGCTGCGGCCCTGCCGGTTCCGCACCTTTCACCGGCGGGATTCTCTCGCGAAGAAAAGGGGGAGCCGCGTCCCGCTTGGGAGAGATTTCTGGTTCGTCGTCGTCGTCGTCGTTGTCGTCGCTGCCCTGCCGCAGCAGCGACGCTTCCGCATCTTGCACCGGCGGCATTCTTTCGCGAGAACGGCCGTTGCCACCGCCTCCCGGCGGCCCCGCCGGTTCCGGATCGCGCCGAGAGGGTGGATCCAAGGTTCGTTCCGCCTCGCCGCGGCCCCCGCCGCGTGGGCCCCCCAGAAAGGCCCGCAGGTCCTCGTGGGACGCGAGCAGGTCGTCCACGATCCAGTCCTCCTCCTCCTCCCTGGYTTCTTCGAGGGCCCGGGTTTCCTCCTCCAGTCGTTTGAGCTGCTCCTTGATTTCCTGCTTCCTTTGTTTCCGCTGGCGGTCCTCGAGGTAGCGCTTGAGGTTTTTGGAGGCCAGAACGATGCCCTTCTTGGTCCAAAACTCCACGCTCCCGGCCATGAACTTGCGGTAGGGCTGCACCTGCACCTTCCAAACGAGCTGGGTCGGTGTGGTTTTGGTTTCCCGGACAAAGGTGACCGTTGCCCGGTGGTAGTGCACGGGGAAGGTCAGGAGGTTGGGGTTGTTGACTCGGTAGACCGCCTTGGAGATCTCGGTTTCGGCCTCCGGTTCCCCGTCGATCTCGATGCCTCCCGATTCCGACGCCGGGTGGTCGAATTCCAGCGAGAGGAGCTCTTCTTCCAGGGCGGACGGGAGGACCCAGCGCAGATCGCTGCTGGTGCTACTGCTRCCGCCGCTGCCCCCGCTCTCGGTTCCGGGGGCGGGCACGACGGCAATGGCTCCCCCTCCCCTGCGCCAGTAGTAATCGTACCACGCCTCCATGGCTTCTGCCGGACCCACGCCGGGGGGCATTTTTTCGACGTGCTCGATGGTCGGCATCGATTTGTCCAGGTAGGCAATGAGGTTGTGCGTTGCGGTTTTCAGCTGGAACTGAGACCAGGAGCCCCAGAGGTTTTCCTTGGCGAGCATCGATTGCAGGCCGGGATTGGATTCCAGCAGCTGCTTGGAGTATTCGTCGATGATGGTTTTGGTGGTAAAGACGAATCCAAAGCCGTTTTCGTCCGTTTCGGTTGGTGTTTGTTGCCCCTCTGGGGTTTCTGTTTCCTCGTCCTCGCTGCCGACACCGTCGTCTTTCTGGATGCGAAAGGTTTCTACCCATATCATCCTTGTGGAGGTGTAGGGTGCCCCGATGAATTCCACCCTTCCCTCGTGCGAATTCGGGACCATGTCCCGGCAAAAGAATCCCCGCTGGGTGGTCCGATAGGAGACGACCTCCCGCCGGATGGTTTTGGTTTTGGTCTCGGCCGACGAGCGGTTGGAAGCCGTTGCGGGGGAATCCTTGGTCGTCGGGACCAGTTCCTGCTTCATCCCGAGCGGGACGATGAGTTCCCGGACCGTGGGGATCCCTTCCGCGGGCCTTTGCGCTCCCGGCTCTCGCTCCTTGTCGGTTTCGTTTCGCGGGGGCGTTGCATCGGCCTGCGCGGGAACCACGATTCCGCCGCCCCTCGCCCAGCAAAATTCCAGCCAGCCCTCTACGGCCCGATCGACCGAGACGTCCGAGGGAAAGGTGGTTTCGATGCGGACTTCGATCGTGTAGGACCGGTCCATTTCCGTTGGTTCGTCGGAGGGTTCAGGAGTAATGGTGGTGGTGGTGTCTCCGACCTTGGTGATTGGGTCCGGGTTGCGAAAGGAATCCTCTGTTTCCTCCGGGCCTTTGGCAGCAGCATCTGCATCTGCATCTGCATCTGCATCTGCTTCTGCACGAACCGATCGAGCAGCAGGTTCCTCGCCGGCCGTGGGCAACAGCGCGGGTCGAAGGATCGCCTCCTCGCTCCCGGCTCCACCGGGTGGAAGGACCACCGGGGCAGAACCCTCGCGGGCACCCGCTGGCATCGATCCGGTGGCAGCAGCAGCAGCAGAAGCAGCAGCAGCAAAGGTTGCGGCCCGCGGGGTGGATCGTTCCCCCAGCGAAAAGTCGGTCCCCAGGATCTCCAGGTACGACGTCGGAGACGGCAGCAGAGACGGGCCTTCCGCCTTTCCGGGAGCAGAGAGGTAGTCCACGCCCATCCGGGAGTCAAAGGCGGACATCTCTCGCCCGCTCGGAGCAGCGTCCGGTCCGGCTTGGGGCAAGGGACCCACGCCGCCATTTGTTTTTGGGCTTTCGCCGTCCGTGTCGTCCGTGTCCCTGGGGGTGTTCCGGTTGCGCTTGCGGTTCTGGATCTCGTTCCGGTCCTCCAAGGGAGGAGTGCTTGTGCTTGTGCTTGTGCTTGCGCTTGTGCTTGTGCTTGTTTCTGTTTCGTCGACGGGCTGTCTTGCTTGGGGTTCGAGGTCCCGAAAGCCGAGCCTCGTCGACAGGTTCTGCGAGTACATGGCGTGCAGGTAGTTCTCGACCCTTGCCTCCGGGGGCGGGACGGCCCTCGACTGGTAGGAGGATCCGGCGGAGATGAATTCCAGAAAGGCCTTCTCGAGCCTTGCTTCCTCCTCGCGGTTCCGGGCAGGGGTCGCCTTCGATGTGGCACCAACAGAAGCACTCGCACCCGCACCCGCAGCGGGCCTGCGGTGGACGCTCCCGGGGATTGGCGGTTTTGGTTTTGGCGGGTCGGGCAGCGGGGCTTGCATCCTTGCAAAGGCCGCGTATTGTTCTTCGTAGCCGAGCTGGCTCTTGCTGTTGCTGTCGCTCTTGCTGCTGCTGTTGTTGTCATTGTTCTTGTTGCCAATTTCTGGATTTCCAGGCTCCGCAACGGCATTGGTTCCGGGAGATTCTGCTTCGTTCTTTGGCGTGGTTTGCTGGTTCTGCTGGTGGTTCTGGTTCTGCAGCTGCTGCTGCATCTTGGCAAAGGCCGCGTATTGTTCTCCGTAGCTGGTGGCGAACCGCACGGTTGACGTTGCTGTTGACGTTGACGTTGACGTTGCGGTTGAAGCTGCGCCTGCGGCCCGCTGGTTCCTTCCTCGCGGCCCCGGTGCCCAGGCGAGGGTGGAAGGCCCTCCGGGCCCGGAGGCGAGCCACCAGCAGGCGGCCGCTGCGGCCCACCGCCGCCATTGCCACTGCCACTGCCATCCCCCGGGCGAGGCCTTCATCTCGGTCGGACGTTGGGTGGGTGGGTGAGTAGTGTTTGTTTGTTTGCTTGCTTGCTTGCTTGCTGTTTTGCGTCTGCGAGTGTGTGTGTCAAAGAGAGGGATATATATAAATATATATATATATACGAAGTAGATACTGTACTAATGAGAGAACTAGAGAACAAGCTTGTTTGTTGCTTGGTGTTTGATTCGTAGGGTATTGCCCTCCGCTCTAAGATTCTACTGCAGAAATAGAAGGCAGTCAAGAGTCTCGCAAACGGCTCGTCTCGACGGGTCTCGGTAAGTGATGCGATGCAGCACGATGCGGTTGTGAATTGTTCGGCACGAACTCCCGAGGTTGCCAAAAGATCGTTTTTTTTTGGTTTTTTTTTTCATTCGTGATGGGGAGAAGGAGTTTTCGGAGTTCTTTCCCATCACTGCCGCGATTTACTATTGTAGCGTCTTCGAATGTTTCGATGGACGACCCGTTGCTTTACATGTCAAAACTTGGAACCGGGCGGTACGTAGTACGTACCGTACGGGACGTACTCGTACGTTTTCCCGAAGTCCCCGTACTACTACTCTTCGAAGGTGGTACGTACCACCAGTACTTTATTGTACGTAAGTAACTATCTACGGGTAACGGTACGATCCCACCACACCATCGTTCCGCGAGGTCTGCTCTGCCCCGTGTCGTTTGTCGTTTGTCGTTTGTTAGGCCCCCGAGCGGAACCGACGCCGTCTGTGTTCGAAGGGCATGCGACTGTGTCTCGACTGGACTGTCTCGACTGGACTGTCTCGACTGGACTGTCTCGACTGGACTAAACTCGCATCGACCGAATCAATTGAATCTCTACTGAATCATGGAAGTCGAAACATTAAAAAAAAGACTAAAACAGTTTTGACTGTAATTGGTTCGCAAAGCGGAGGGGGGGTCTGGGGGGGTGGAATTTGAAGAAACATGGTATACTCATCTTTTTAGTCGTAGAGCCGGTAGGGTTTTGAACTATAAGAAACATGGTAAAACAATAAAGTTACGGGAATGAGATGCCAGCATATATAACTCATTGCTGGTGGTGGCGTGCGATGACACCTTCGACTTCCACTGCCCCCGAAGCAGACCAATCGAATCGACTGTCTCGACTCAACTCGCTCCAACACCGATGCCTCTGCACGACTGGAAAAATGAAAAATGACAGGAGCAGTGCTGTACCGGTAAATGCGATAGTACGAACATAATACGGTACTGTGTACGCCAAAGTACAGGTACCAGTACGAGTACGTACCGGTACTGTTTCAAAAATGATTGTTCATCGCTCCCCCGCTGAACAGCCCTCAGGCAACGAATTGGACCACGCCGAGAGCCTTGCACAAAAACAGCGCTGCGGGGAACAGAATCACGCCAACATCACTCGGGTACGAATTGTCTGGGGCAAGCACTACAGAACGTCACACGGGAGGAACACCAAACAACACAAAACTACACAACTCCAGCCCCAGCCCCAGCCCCAGCCCCAGCCCCAGCCCCAGCCCCAGCTCCCCGGTTCGTGGTCTCGTTAAGCGCGACGAGAAGCCTGTTCGACTCGGAATCCTCCGGCGAATGCCCCCGCCCTCCCTTCCCTGACCGGAGAGCTCCGCGGAGGCTCTTCCGGGGGCACCCACCGCCATGTTTGACACGGTGGTGTCGACCCCCTTTGCGAGCGGGGTTCCCTCTCTTGCCAGCAGCAGCGGCAGCGGCAACGGCAAGAGCCACGCCACAAGAACCCCCGGATTCCCGTACGCATCGGTCCTCGACGACCTGTGCGAAAGGGTCGAAACCTCCGGCTTTTACACCCCGAAATCCTCCCCGTGGTTCCTCCGGGGCGTCCTGGAGAAGCACCGCGACAGGGACAGGGAGCAAATGGGCAGAAGCGGCCCCGACCGGTTCTTGACCAGGGGCCTGACCGATGCCATGGTGGATCGCCTCCTGGAGGGGGACGGTCGCGGAGGACCCTTGGAACCGCAGGGGGAACCGCAGGGGGACCCGTGCCTGGTGGTGGCAAGGTCCCTGGTGGGGGCGGATCCCTCCGGGTACCTCCCGGCGATGGCGGCGAGCCTGTCCGACAAGGTCGGCGGCGCAGCAGCAGCAGCAGCAGCAGCAACAACAACCTCCCAAACCCCAAGCACAACCAAGGTCGAAGCCGCAATCCACCCTCCGGCAATTCCACCGGGAATGCTCCGGTGGTGGATCTCCCTCGTCGCCGACCCTTCSACGCCCCTGGAGATCCACGACCGGTTGTCCGATGCCCTGCTGGGCGTTGTTCTGGGCCACCGTGCCGGTTGCCGCACGCAGCAGCAGCAACAGCAGCAACAAGAGCAACAAAACCAATCACAGCAGCAACAAAACCAATCACAGCAGCAACGAAACCAATCACAGCAGCAACGAAACCAATCACAACAACAACAACAACAACAACAACAACAACCGCTGCCAGACAGCGAACCAGACCACAACCCTGGCGGATGCGATCCTCCCTGTCGGCTCGCGGCAGACACCCTGGCCTGCCTGATCTCTGCCGAAAGGGACCCGTGGGACCACCCACGGACCCTGGTGCCAAAGCGAGACCCGCCTCCCTCGTCCGTGTTCGATGCCCTGGTGCGCCGCGCCTCGTTCGGGATCCGGTTCCTCTCGCGCTGCGGCACCCTGGCCGATCGCGGAAAGGGTGCCGCCAGCGGCACCACGAAAGAGACCTTAGGGCGGGAGGGACTCCCCGTTGTGGTTCGATCGTCCGGTGCCGTGGAGTGGCTCGCCGAGGTCCTGGACACGGGGTTTGGGGGAGTCCTTTCTCTAGAAGCACGGCGGTTCGAAACCAAGCGGAGGCAGCATCAGCAGCAGCCACCACCACGACCGCAAAAGGGCGACGGGGACGCCATTCGTGTCCAACATCGCTTTCGCTTGCTGGACGTGCTGCTGGAGGAATGCGGCTTGCACCGGGAAGCGGGAAGCGGCCCGTTCTTCCTGGAAGCCCTCGCCGGCGAGGACAAGCGGGCCTTCTCGGGCTTTGTCGCGGAGACCTCCCGCTGCCTGGTGGAAAAGTGGAGGCGCCACCTCCTCTCCCCCCACCAAGAAAAGGGCGGAAGGTGGGGTCCTTCCGCATCGCCGAGCAACGAGATCGGGCCCGGAAAGGGGGCCCTCTTCTGCGCGGCCCGCTTTCTCCGCGTCCTCTCCCGGCTGCTCCCCCTGCTTTCGCAAGAGCCCTCGAGGTGTGTTGCCGGGGGAAGGGATTCCCCGCTGGTCTCTTCTTGCGAAACGATGGACGAGGCCACCTTTAGGGACGGGAAAGCCCTCTTTGCCCGCATGCTCGGCGACGAAGAAACCCCGCTCCAGCAGCTGAAGCTGGTCCGGCTCCTGGTGGACGAGTTCTACAACGCCCGAAGCAAAGCGGACACCTTCCGAGCGTCCCCCTCCATTCTGGGGTGGCTCTCCTCCCCCGCAATGCTCGGGCCGGTCCTCCGCCAGTGCGAGGAGGACCCCTTCCTGCTCCGGTCGGACGCCGCCCGCTGGTACGTCGGCGCCTACGGCRGGGAGAAACCAGGGGCAAGGGGGTCCCTCCGCACCAGGCCCCTCCGGGCCGCCCCGGACTGCCTCCCAGCGGGCACGGAAGGGCACCGAGGGAGGCAGCCTTGGGAAGCGCGCACAACCTTGCGGTCCCCGCTGGTCCTGATGCGCAACCTGGGAGCGGCGTGGGACCGAAGGGGCACTTGCCCGGGCAATGGGGGGACGCTTCCCGAACAGCGCGAGAACTACGAGCTCTTTGGGGGGGACGACGACGAAACGACCGGGAGCGGCGGGGAAGGGTCCCGGTGGGAACCGTGCTACCAGGCCGCGGACTAACCAACTACTAACTACTGTACTAACAAACAAACAAACAAACAAACAAACAAACAAACAAACAAACAACAATGCTTGTCACAACCACGATTGTCGTGATCGTATCGAACGGTCCGGCAAAGGTGCTGGGAAGAACCGCGAGGATCTTGTGTCGCGGTGGCGTCGGCGCTGGGTCCGTGGTCTCCGTCGTTTCTTGCCAAGACCAACCGACGAGCCCGCTGCTGGGAAAACTCCTTTCTCTGGTGCCCGTGCGAGGTAGGTGAATTTCGAATTTGTATCCTACAAGCTGCCGCACGTATCCGTGAACCCTTCGTATCTCTGACCATGGGTGAAGAGAATCCCCATATTCCAGTCAGGTCGTCGCGGAAACACCGATAGAGTACCAAAGCCACCAACCAAAGCGGAGATCTTGTAAATCAAGAATAGCACGAGTCGAAATAACAAATAACTCCAACAGGAAGAGCTGCATTCATTCTACAATTTCTTTCGTCTACTTCTAACCAATGGGATAATAGATACACAGTAACAGTTGTCGCTCAATTCGTGAAGGTTGTCGTGGGTTAGCTTTCGATTCAATTCAATACAACACTTGCTAGCCTTCGCTTCACTCTAGCGGGACGTGATCAAATCGCAAATACTCCGCAGGAGCACGGTGTGTTTTGGCACCATGCCTCGGTCCTGAAACCTACACTTTCTTTTCGAATCGGCAATCGTTATGTTAACCTCTAGCGTTAGCGGCACGCAACGTGCATGGGATGGTGGCGCAGCGGCGATCCACAAATGCGTGGATTCGTGCGCACCGCCGAATCTCGGGGGAAGAGATTCCCCTGCGTCCTTTTTTTGGACGTCCTTCCCTTTCCCGGCGATTTCGAGCTCGGTGGTTTTCCGTCGCACCGGCTTCGCCCTGCACCAAAGCACGCGGAGTTGGCAGGCGTCGCCTCCGAGGCGTTTCGGGGGATGCTTGTTGCCTGCCCCGGTTGCCTTGCTCTCGTTTTGGCGGGTTCCGCTGCCCGAAAGGAGGTCGGACCCTATCGCGCAACAGCACGAAACCAACCAACCAACCAACCAACCTAGCATTCGGAGTGTTCCGCCCCCCTTGGGCTGGCAGTAATGGTAGAAGGCCCATCGGAGCCGGGGGCCACCGCACGCTGGGAGGCTTCCGCGGCGTGTCCCGGTTCGTCTCCGGCTTTGCCTGGACCTTTGCCGTCGCCTTTGCCGTCCCCCGAAGCGTCCTCCCCGGCAGCGGCGTTTCCCAGCAACGACCGGCGGAGCCGGACCGAGGTCCGCACCACGACGGCCGCCGCGGTTTCGAAGAGGGGCAGGGCCTCGTGGACCGCCAGGACCCCSAGCAGGAGGGAGCCCCCCAGGACGGTCCAGCCCGACGGGGCGTCCCCGTAGGCCAGGTACACAAAGAGGGGGCCCAGCAGGGCCTCCAGGAGGACGCAGAGGCCGATCTCGGCCCCGGTGATCATCCGGGGGGCGATCGTGATGGCGACAAAGAGGGCCCCGACGCTCGCCCCCTGGGCGATGCTGACCAGCCAGAACTTCCAGGCGGCCTCCTCCCAGGCAYGGGGGAGGACCCTCCCGCGCTTGACGATCAGGCTGACCACCATGGCGATCAGGACGCCCCCCGCGGTGGAACCGATGAGGTTGGCCGGCTGTTTCGGGGCGTCCGGAAGCGGCAGGGGCTTGGCCCCGTCTTCTTTCGCTGGATCGCTGGTTTGCGAAGGATTGGCGTTTGCGTTTGCGTTCGCGCTGGCATTGGCATTGGCGTTGGTGTTGCTGCGTTCCCCCCTCGTGCTTCCGTGCCGGACGAGGGTGATGTAGGCGGCGAGGCCAAGGCCCGTGGCAAAGGCAATCGCGTTTCCCTTGGTAGAGGACTCTTGCAGGTTGCTGTTTTCGCTCGTGCCGGCGAGCAATCGTGCTCTCGTGGAGTTTCCGCATGCGTCCCCCGGATCGTAGTCGACGTCGTAATAGTCGACGTCGACGCCGACGTCTTCGCCGTAGCCAGGGTCGTCGTCTCCTCCGCCGGGAACGTTCCTTCCCAGGATCTCCGGCACAAAGATGATCGCGATGCACCCCAGGGACAGGGMCAGCGCCACAAAGGTCCGCCTCGGCAGGACGTCCCCCAGCAAAAAGCGGCCCAGGATCGCGCACCACAGCGGGTTGAGGTTGATGAGCAGCAGGGCGTTGGCCGCCGTCGTGTAGAAAAAGGACAGCACGAAGCAGGTGTCCACCGCCGCCTGYAGGGGCATGGCCAGCGCGTAGTAGACCCTCGCGTCYAGCACCGAGGCCCAGAGCTTCCTCGGGCCGCCCGCTTCGTAGACGGCAAAGCCCAGCGAGAACGGGGCGGCGAAGGCCATCTTCCAGAAGACGGTCGTCCACGGATCCGATCCCCCCTCGCCGAGGTACCGGGTGAGGACGGCGTCGGGAGAGATGGCCAGGATCCCCGCGAGCATGATGAGGAGTCCCTTGGTCCGCTCCTTCATGGCGCTGTCTTTCTTCGTATGCGTATGCGTATGCGTACGCGTATGCGTATGCGTATGCGTATGCGTATGCGTCTGCGTCTGCGTCTGCGTCTGCAAGTGTCTGCAAGTGTCGATGGGACGGAACGGAACAGAGAATTGGAATCCGATGGTTGTTTGCCGTATTCCGTTACGTTGTCAGAAGATCGATGTCGATGATAATGTCGGTGCTACCAGCGTCAACAACAATACCATCAACTCAAATCTGTGTGGGAGTGCAGGGGGGGCACATGGGACATGTCTCGTTCATACCAGCCAACAGATCGATTGCTGCTGCTGTCCATTCACTTTGGTTTCCTGTGATCTCGTCTTTTCCTTCCTTCCGTCGAACCAATGATTCGAAAGTCGTACGGTACTACGGTACGTAGTACTCGTACGAATTCTAAGACTGCGATGATTCAGAATAGAAGTACGTGCGTACGACTACTACGAACGAAACCTGACACCAGCTATCGATCATCTTGACGCTTGACCGAAAACCGAGGGCCTATGAGTGCTACAGTACTACGTAAATACACACCTACTACGTACACCGTACATACGGCACATACGTACTATCCCAACGAAAATGTTTGTTTTTGTGATTAGTGCGGGAGTGTCTTTGCTTGGCGTAACTTCCAACGSATAAWCTACGSTACGTACTCGACAAGTACGTACGGTACGGTAGTATTGTAATCGACTTGTACTAATCCTTGTACGTACTTTACATACGATACGTACGAGTACTCATGCATAAACTACTGTGTCACAAATCACAGATCACAATAAAATCTCTTGCCTTCTTCCAATAGTATGCACGAGTACCCGTACCAAGTACTCGTACCCTGACTCACTCGCAATTCACAGTCCACACGACAAACACAGCATCGCTTTTTCTTCTTTTCATCCTTCTGTACCGGTACCACGGTTATGGTGGTCTCTTTCCGCAAAACAGTTCGCTGACAAGAGCGGCACTCGGAACACCTTCAATCCCYAGGAAGAGTACGTMATTCTCGTACGCTTACTATTTTGCTCGTTTGGCACTTCTTTTTCTCGATCGCCGCAAGGTTCACGGCACAACAAGCAAAAGCCACCCAAGAAACTTGTCGCGGGAGCCCACCGAGGAAAGAGACCAAGACCAGGACCAGACCAGGACCAGACCAATCCCGGAACAGACCAGGACCAGACCAATCCCGGAACAGACCGCGAGCACTGCCGGCACGGACGCACGCCACCATTCCGCCCCCACGCCGTTGTTCTCCCCCCAATATCGCCACTCTCCTCGCAGCGGTGGCGTGCCTCGGAAGCAGCAGCAGCAGCAGCATCCACGGCCTCCGCGCGTTTCGGCCCGCCGCGGTTGCCGCGTTTTCCTCCGCTCCGAACAGGGCARAGACCACCTTCCTTTCCCGCGGGCGCATCGAAGGACACCGGGGCACCCCTGGCGTTGGCGTTGGCAGGCTCGGGCCGCCCCTTGTCCTTTCGAAGCACGATTCCTGCAGAACAACATCCACCCGGTTGCTCTCCATGAAGAACAAAAAGGGAAAGACGGTCGCCAAGGAGAATTTGCCGTCCAAGGTCTGTGTGGTCTGCAACCGTCCCTTTACCTGGAGAAAAAAATGGGAACGCGTCTGGGACGAGGTCACGACCTGCAGCAAGAGCTGTAACGCGAAGCGACGGCAAATGGCAAAACAGCAACAACAAACGCAACGSCTCTGCGGAAGCGARGACGACGACTCCCTTGTCTCCGCCTCTTGTTCGCYSGCCGGCGAGGCCGGAGAGACGGAGCCCCTCGATCACAAGGCCGCGCTGCGAAARCAGCGCAAGGAGGCCGTCAAGGCCCAGAAGCAGGCCCGAAAGCTCAAGCGCATGGGCATAGCCCCAAGGGAGGTGGGGCGCAAGCCGTGCGATCTCTGCTCGAAACCCGTCGATCTGCTGGTGAGGTGCACCGTCGACGAGACGCAAACCTACAAGATGGTCTGCGGGAGGTGCTGGCCGAGGGTGAGCGGGGGCGTCCCCGACGGGGTCTCGGCGACCCACCCGCACTACCGGTACGGCGGGTTGTGGAAAAACCGAAACGCCGACCTGAAGAAAAAGGTCGGGAGCGGAAGGGGTGGGAAGAAGGGAAAGAACAGCGGGAGACCGCCGTCGCCCTTGTCGCTCACGGAAGAAATCGAGCTGAGTCTTGTTGCTGCCGAGGAGGAAGACGACGAACGGTGARGCGACACGCAACTACCGAGAGGAAGGATCTAGARTAGCATAAAGCATAGTTTTCTTTCGTGACCACGTTATCTTTTGTTGACTTSTAYKATTTTCCAGCTTATCATGTGTAGAGCCACCACGCTGTACCCTCACAGCTGATTCCGTGGACAGCGTCGAGACCTGGATTGCGCCATTCGCAGACAAACGGTTKAAGACACCGAAGATTGCACGAAAACAATCTTTTTGCATCCATTGAGTTGAGAAAAAAAAAGCTTCTTATTCGAATCGTTCGGTTCGTACCGTACTACAGTATGATTCGGCATAATCGTACGGTACCGTTTGTTCGGTTTGGAGTGAAGTTAAAAAATCGGGGGCAACGCATTCACACTTGCGGCCGCGTGCAAAAWGTGACATCGGCAGGATTCGAACCTGCGCCAACGAAGACCAGAGCCTAAATCTGGCGCCTTAGACCACTCGGCCACGATGTCTTGCCATTGTGCGGTCGGAGTATCAATTATATACTCTTCTTAGTCTATTTGCTCACCAGGTTTGTCATATGACTACAAGCTTCAGTTCACGCGTCTATTAACACAGGAGCATACTAAAGTTTGCATTGACAATGGTCTCGTGCACCTCTTTTGAACAAGAATGACCGGTAGAAGAAGAAAGTTACCAAAAATAATGTGAATTACAGCCTCAAAAATGCCACATCAAAATGACCAGCACTGGAATGCAACTGACTGTGAAATCACATTCATATGCCAAAAAAAGCTGTGTTTGAAGGCTTATTCCATCACTGCTAGCATTACGAGTCTAATAGGGATACTATTGGGCAAGATTACTAAAACAAAAAAAGAACCGTTCAAATCGGCCATATATTGTTGGGCTTAATCCAGTAGTAGTAAAGGTGCAAACTGGACACTCATACTAGGGGACTGGTGGAGGAAGTACTGGTACTAGTATTAGTACCTCCTGACAGGCCCTATTCTAGTGAGTCATAATGAAGGTACTGATTGCTTTTAGGGTTTAAAAAGGGAGCTGATTCAGGGAACAATTGAGATTTTAGGGGAAAGGGGTTGTGAAAACTGTGGGTCGTGGTGAAAGGTAGTAAACAGCAAGAAATGAATGATTATGCARCTGCTGGTACTACTAATACTAAYACTCAGAATAGAATCTTTTCRTTGAAATTTTTAAAATTGATTATGATCTTTTGAATTATTAATCATCTCATTCACTTGTAAACAAGCCTCTCTTCTACTAAATGAAAAGCTGCTGAAAAAGAAGAGTGCTTAAGACATTTTGTTCCTGAACTGTGAAAACTGAATAAAAGCTATTGATCCAAGAAGAATAAAAACACMAGCAATAAAATTGAATGAGCAGTGGCCTAGCCCGCGTGATGCTGGATTCCSTTGGTGACAGGATGTACATATCTTCAAATTCCATATCGGCTTTCCTAAAGGATTATTGGTTTACKTCTTGTGCAAATATCGTCAAAAGCCACTCCCAAAAGCACAAGGAGGTCGAATATTGATTATGCTTGAATCAATCTATTGCAATCGTTTTCTCTGACTATTTATGAAGCACGAAAGAATAGATTGCATCCATAACAGTACAAAGTGTAGTATCCTCATCATCTATGGACGAAATTATATTATTCTCGACCGCGAGGACGGCGGCTCGGATGACGGAATGCTTTCCGAAGCTGCTCGTTTTGTCGTCGTCGTATCAACCTCGACTCGTGGTGATATCGTTTTTGATTCATCCGCCAGAAGAAATCGTTGGACACTGTCGAAATCTCCGTTCAGCAGTGAAGCTGCAAGTCTTCGCCCGATATYCTTCATTCCATTTGAGGCATGTTTCGATGCTACACTATTTTGTGTTGAAGCAGCGGTTACTGTCTTTTCATTCTTCTTCATTTCTTCGGMTATATATTCCAAATTCTGTGTTATCAATGCAAGGTTCTTCGGCAATGTATAACCTTGTGCACATCTGTCCGGCGTAACGAATTGCTGTGGAATTCCTCCATCTCCAGTTGCCATCAAACTCATCGCGACTACTTGCGAGAGCGATTCCATTTTTTGCTGTTGCCGCTGTCCAACACGTGCAGAACCGCCTACATGAGATGGRACTGTAGAGATATTGGAAGACAAGGACTCAGAGGACACATTAGGAGTGAATAAAGTATGGGKTGTGGATAATCCCCCACTTCCGCTTGTACTGACGGACGTCGTCGTACTGCTTGTCGTTGGGACTGCGTTCATGGTCTCAACTATTGGAGGGAGTGGGGGGGTTGGTGCATCTTGTGGCTGCTCGGAAGAAGATGGCGGCTGTGGTGGATGGATTGCAGGTAAATGCTGGGGGGGCAGCTTGGGAAATCGTTGGTGCTGTTGCTGTTGCTGTTGCTGTTGCAGAAGATGAGAAACTAAGGCTGCGAGCTTCTCGTAATGTGCCGTCAAGTAACTCATTCTACGAGTGTTTTCTTCGTTTATTTCAGAGAGTTTTCGTTCCATTTGCGTTGACATGTCRACGACGCACTGTTTCAGCTTCAACACCTGCGACTTGAGATCGTCAACATCGTCCTTCGATTGCTGGTCAGACTTTGTCGCCCGCTTGATGCTGTGAAGAAGTTCCGGTCGTCCCTTTTGAAACTTTTCGTGATAAAAGCGAACATAGGCTGCAGTTTGAGGATCAATGTCGTTGGTTAGAATGGGATCGGAACGGAGTTTCCGAAAGCCGTAAAAGTTCAACTGTCGGGCAAAACTTGAAAAGTTACTGTGTTTGAAATACATCGGCAGAACTGCACTGGCAAACTTTTCGACATTTTTCACAACGAAATTATCTCCCGYAGGCGACCAAGTCGCAATGTCTGGATCGCATCGATCTATCATGTGGTATGTTTCTAATCGATGAATAAGGGGAAGAGGTGAAGTTGAGAAAAGTCATCTGTTCTGAGGACATATGATGCCTGTCGCATCATTCGAGTCAACGCTGTACATADGTTTACGAAAATGATGCGTAGATACCACCGATTCATGTCGTATATCGAAAGAATACAGTACCGCACGGTGCAATAACGAAAACAACAATAATGATGATTCATTTTCTGCCTTCTTCAGTTGGTTCATTCGCCAAGGAAATTCTCGGAGATGTCAACTACAGGTACTCGTACTAGTATGACGGATTTTTCTGGAAATTTCTTTGGTGAGTCCGAAATACGCACGACGAACGAATGTAGACGAATGCGCGAAAGTTTCTTCCAGAACATTCTGGAATGCGAACGAAAAATCGATTCTGAAAAACCAATTCTTCAATCCAGGATTCCTTTTTTTSTATTGAATCATGTTTCGAAACGGAATCACAAAACACTTACTGCTCAAAAATAAGGGAAGTTGATGTTGTTTTGGGCAAGCCTTCTCTTTCATAGAAGATTTCCCATTACTAGTCCCACTACTAGTAATTTTACTCGCAGTAATCGTAGTCGTGTTAGCACCCGAAGAAATTGTGGTGGTTGGAGCTATCAGTTGTGGAGGCTGCTGAACAGCAGGAAGTACTGCAGGAACCATGGCAGGAGGAGGAAGAAAGCCGTGCATTCGGAGTTGGCTGCCCGGAACGGAAACGGACATCGAATTCGTTGCAAGATGAGTTGCAGCAGGTGTCCGTATTGTTGTTGGGTGCAGAGTTGTGGCGCTGTTGGCCAACGAACACAATGCGTCGCATACACCCATTTTCGCCGCTTGTAAACCAAGGTCAACTCCTTCTCCAACCTTTTCATGTTTCGTGTCACCACTCTCAGGTTCCTGCTTCGATGGTTCCATCGGAGCAGGTGCTATCTCTCTCGACTTGAGTTGCGACAACATGATGATTTGAGAAAATGATGGTTTTGGCCAAATTACAAAGCAATTGCCTATTGCCTCGAGAATCACTTTTCCCTCCCGTACGTACTCGTAGTATCCATGGAAAATAGTTGTACCCTACCGTAAGAGCACGAGTACSGTACKAGGTACYGTATGTTTTTACTACTTATCGGTTTTTCCTTGGTACCGAAGTATGTCGATGAACATGAGTTCATTGTATTGTGATTAGATGTGATTGGTCCGAACTTTGGTCCCATACCAGTAGGATTTTATTTGGAACATCAGAGAAGAAAATCTGGGCGTTTTGATTGGGCAAATTCTTGGTATTTTGTAGCGACGAAGAACATCGTTGTTACAGTGACGTTGACACCATTCGATTACCTTCGAATATCTTCTTGCGTCACAGTACGCCTACCATTTCAATGGTCCCATAATAGGTGTCTTAATAGCACCTCTAGTACTACTAGTACTACTACTACTACTAATAGTACAGCATGAGTGAAACAACAAGTTCAATATTTGGGCACTTTCAATTGTTCTTTTTGTGCAGCACTTTTGTCATAGTACTACTACCATCCAAATCCAGAATCAATATTTGATAAAATTAATCAGGTTGTAGGTTTGTTATAGTAGTAGCCCTGCTGTACATGACAAAGCCATTTTTCATCTTCTCCTTCTAGCTGATTTCACCAGCACCAGCACCAGCACCAGCACCAGCACCAGCACCAGCACCAGCACCAGCACCAGCACCAGCACCAGCACCAGCACCACCAAGAACCAAGCACCAGTTGAAAGGAATCAACCCCCAACAGTGGTCATATTCATGTTGCTGACACTAGTAGTAGTGGCGGTATGACTAGTACTAGTGTCATTTTTCATATTCACCTTGTTGTGCTGGTGTTCCTAATACTAGTACTAGTACTAGTAACTGTTCCTCATATGGAAAATTCTTAGTATAGTAGTAATAGTACTAGAAACCAGTAGGGTGCTCTTCTTTACTAGTAGTTCCTCTTTACATAGCACATACTAAAGCATCCTTCTTTAGTTCTTGAGAAGACAGTCATTGCATCAACCAAAATCAGGGTTTCCCATAGGTTTTCTCAATTTTTGAATAAAGAGAAAAAAAGGGTGTATTGCCAAGGTTATACTCTCTTTGTTCCTCCTCTGTACACAAACATCAAGAAAACAAAGAGCAGAAACAAGGAGGAGAGGCAAGAACACTCTTATTCTTTCTCTTCTTTGTCTAAACATAAAAAACAAAGATAATATCACAAAGGCAATATCATGAACTTTGCTTCTCCTCTTCTTTTTTGTTTGACCATGACCATGACCAACAACAAGGAGCAATGAGGAGAATGCCCTCATCATTTCATTTTGTAAATACAAGGAGAATAGTGACCAGACTTTATTCACTCTCTTAAAAGAAACAGAAACAATGATAGCCACTATTGTCTTTGTTATCAATGAGAAACAGTGAGAACATTGCCTGTTAAACAAAGAGAAACAATTGTCTTTGTTCTTTCTCCTTGTTTTGTGGAGTGAACAGGAAACTATTTTTTCAGGGCACTGGGCTCTCTGGGACCCACGTGTGCGCAGCCCCCCCCCTGTAATCAAACATTCAGGAGCATGATTCCATGGGTTATTTTTCCAATGAAGTAACCCCTGTTTTAGAAATGTGGGTTATTTTTACTAACCCACCACCTTTCTAGTAAAACATGGGTTCCTGGGTTAACCCACAAATAAGCCATGAGTTTCTGTGAGAACTCATGAGTTACCCACAAATCTGCTGGGCCAACCAAAAAAACATTAATAGATTGACTTAACAATGTTAATGACTAAAATATTTGACATCCTTGGTTCTTCACTAGTAACCCAAATGACTGTAAATTTGTGGGTTATAAGCCTCCTCCAACAGTAAAGAAGAAACAAAAATACGTGATGAGTAGAGGAGCAAAGATACCAACAAAGGAAACAAAGGAAGCAAAGGAAGCAGCAAGGAATAGAAGATCAAAGGAGCTATTTAAGCAGAACAAAGAAAAGTGTTTGAAAAAACTGGAGGAAGAACTTCTTGAGGCTCAGAGGAAGATGAAGAGGAGTGATGATAGTATGAGCAGCTTTGGTAGTGGCAGTGGAAGTGGGAGCAGCAGTTCCTCCAGCAAAGCTAGTACTAGATATCAAACACCATAGTAGTAACAAAGATCAACTAGATTCTAGAAGTGCTAGTACAGTACATTCTCAAACTGTAGTAGGACCAGGACAACTCAAACACTGGGATTGCTGGTCCTTGGGGTATTGCTCAAGTCTATTGCATCTACTCTTGGTAGCTATGATTCTTACTAAAGATAAACCATATACAAATAGTACTGCTGTAGAAGGGAAGGATTGCAGGTTGGATCCATCCCTCTTGAGTATGTCTCAACTGTAATTGAATTGGTCTAGTAGTTGAATCATCCAAATAGATTGAGTGTCCGTAGAAGAAGCTGCAAGGCAAGCTATTCCAGTAGGGGACTGCTGGAATTCAGGCTCCCCCACAAGGATGAATTTTGATAGGCCCAGAAAGTAGCCAACCTGCTAGAAGAAGGCCAGTCTCCAGGGGTTCCTCCGGTCCATTACAATGACTCCCTGAATCAGCTGCCGCGCTTGCTGGAGACAAACAAGGTGCTGTTGTTGCTGTTGCCTGATTGTCATACTAGTTTCCATCCAAACTGTATCCACAGTGACCTAAGGTAGTTGCATCAACCCCTTTGATAGACCTTCCAGCTTACCTGTAAATTTCTGCTTCAAGATCACTGGTAGTCCAATTAGGCCGGGCCTCTCAAGATACTACTGATACAAGATCACAGATCTTGAATTCAACAGGTCCATACTTGGGCTGGTATGGAGGCCTGGGAATAGATCTGAATAGAGTTGGTTTAGGATCCAGTCTAATAGCAACCTTCAGACCCACCAAAGTAAATAGATGGGAGCCTAGATTGTCCCACACAAAGATCCTTTCCTTTTCAGTATTGCCAGGCACTGGATTGGTCTCAATGTCCTTGAATTTTCAATCAATGAAGTGTGCAAAGACTGTACCAGAGGTCCCCATTTGCTGAACAATGAAATTGATCCACCTTCTAGGATTTTGGATACTTCCTCTAGTAGTGTCTGGAGGCAGACACAGATCCCCTACCTCCACAGTAGCTAAGGATGATGGTGGGCTTCTGGGTCCTTTGACAAGCTCCAGGGATCTTTGCTCTGAAACACTTGAGAGCAATTCCTTTCTTGCTCTTGCTTGTCTTCATCATATCCATACCAAACTCATCCACATCAATGAACCTCCTCCTAGTAGGAACACCCACTATTATACAGTGTTCCTACACAGCTTTTGTACTAGAGACCATCCAAAAGACCAATCTTGGGTGCATCTTGCAAGATGCTGAACAGCTGCCGAGCCTGCCAGCCTGCCCCCCAATGGGTCTACTACTAGTACCAATTATAGGTAGTAGGCCTACTACTGTGCTAATGTTTGGAATGTTAACAACACTAACATTCGGAACGTTAATTTAACATTCTTCCAAGAAAGCTCAATTGTTATTTTATGCGCAATAGTATTTTTCACCAAAAATAAGTGATGTTTTTCTAGGGGAGGAATGTTGAACAGGGAATCGCCTGGTGTGCACCATCATAGTACTAAGACCACCAAGAAGAACATTGAGGAGCTAGGAGCCGGACAAGGAAAGGTTCAGAAATAGTCTCAGCAAACAATGAGACAGAGTATGGAAAGAGGATGCTGATGCTAGGTATGAATAATNTTGGTAATCTTCGAATAATTCTAATCTTATAATTTCAATTTTCATACACACTTAACACCTACTAAGAGTACACGTAATCTCGTGCACAAGTAAATAGGATGTATACCTCACAATAGGTACGTAGGAATGGTATGATCCTTCATTCCTTTCTTCGGAGCTTCGTATCGTACGTAACGATTCATCGGTACGTAGGTCCGTTGCATTATCCCACTCAGTGATATTGATATATTGAAATATTACTCACTACCATCCAAATCCAGAATCAATATTTGATAAAATTAATCAGGTTGTAGGTTTGTTATAGTACTAGCCCTGTAGGTGCATAAAGCCATTTTTCATCTTCTCCTTCTTCTAGCTGATTTCACCAGCACCAGCACCAGCACCAGCACCAGCACCACCAGCCAAGCACCAGTTGAAAGGAATCAACCCCCAACAGTGGTCATATTCTTGTTGCTGACACTAGTAGTAGTGGCGGTATGACTAGTAGTGTCATTTTTCATATTCACCTTGTTGTGATGGTGTTCCTAATAGTACTAGTACTAGTAAGTGTTCCTCATATGGAAAATTCCTGAATACTACTAGTAGTAGTAGTACTAGAAACCAGTAGGGTGCTCTTCTTTACTAGTACTAGTTCCTCTTTACATAGCACATACTAAAGCATCCTTCTTTAGTTCTTGAGAAGACAGTCGTCAACCAAAATCAGGGTTTCCCATGGGTTTTCTCAATTTTTGAATAAAGAGAAAAAAAGGGTGTATTGCCAAGGTTATACTCTCTTTATTCCTCCTCTGTGCACAAACATCAAGAAAACAAAGAGCAGAAACAAGGAGGAGAGGCAAGAACAGTCTTATTCTTTCTCTTCTTTGTCTAAACATAAAAAAACAAAGATAATATCACAAAGGCAATATCATGAACTTTGCTTCTCCTCTTCTTTTTTGTTTGACCATGATCATGACCATGACCACCACCAACAACAAGGAGCAATGAGGAGAATTTCCTCATCATTTCATTTTGTAAATACAAGGAGAATAATGACCAGACTTTATTCACTCTCTTAAAAGAAATAGAAACAATGATAGCCACTATTGTCTTTGTTATCAATGAGAAACAATGAGAACATTGCCTGTTAAACAAAGAGAAACAATTGTCTTTGTTCTTTCTCCTTGTTTTGTGGAGTGAACAGGAAACTATTTTTTCAGGGCACTGGGCTCTCTGGAACCCACGTGTGCGCAGCCCCCCCCCCCTGTAATCCAACATTCAGGAGCATGATTTCATGGGTTATTTTTCCAATGCAATAACCCCTGTTTTAGAAATGTGGGTTATTTTTACTAACCCACCACCTTTCTAAAACATGGGTTCCTGGGTTAACCCACAAATAAGCCATGAGTTTCTGTGAGAACTCATGA